CTGACAGAGAGTTGGGGCGAGTCCAAAAATAATTTGGAGGGAAAGTTCAACACCCGTTTGTTGTCCAAACTATACAACCAACACTAAGGGTGCGTTTTTCTGGGAGAACCCCAAAACGGATTTGTGATCTCAGATCATACGGATTCTTCACTACCAAAAAAACGGAAGATCCGAAAAAGGATCATGGCAACGGAATGTCCTCGTGCTCCTCGTTGAAAAAAAAAACAACAAACGGATCCTCACGACGAAGACAAGAAGAAAAAGCAACATGAGCTAGGAATGAATATACGAAATGTATTTACAATGTATTTCGGTTTGAAACACAAACGTTTCTCAAATAGAATGCACTCCTTAGGATAGTAAAATTATAAGAATTTAAAACTGAAGCCGATGAATTGTTTTTTTTTTAATTACTTGGAAAATAAACCGGCGTAAGCAGACATTACATACCTACCAAAAACGTGACAAGTAAGGGTTTAAAAACAGTTTACCAATAAATTGAATAGATGACAAACATGCATGTAATGATATGTCACTAATGGCTCAAAATTAATAAGGTCCCACCAACATAGGTTTAGTTAGAATGTCACACATGTACGGCATCTGATGCGTACAATTTTTTTTTTTGAAAAACCACTAGTCAAAAATACTTTTTTCAAATCCTTTCCCAAAAAAACGCTCAGATTTTGAATCTCAAAAATCTGGATATATATTTGATCCGAAGAATCCACCCTGAGTGTGGATTTTATGGATTCATGATCCGTTTTTGGATTTGCTAAAAAAAAACCGAAAAATCCGTTTTTGGATTCGGAAACCCGGATTTGGATTTTCCCAGAAAAACGCTCCCTAAGTGTAGATATTTTCATTTAAGTGTTCATGTAGTTGTGGAACTGAGTAGTAACATAATGCGAGGGAACTGGGGATTTCGGTGGTGGCCAGAAAATGCGCTATTATGCAGATAACGATCAACCAAAATCTCGTCGGGATGGACCAGGCCGTAGATACCTTGCGTAACCTCAATTCCAGAAGGATACGTTTGGTCTATAGCTTGAGCATGGTACTAAAAAGAAATCACGAAAGGGTTCAAACTGTCCGCAAATGCGACTGTTTACACTGTACAAGAATATCCACTTACGATCATTCACGTGTGGACGGACGCTATCAGGGAGCTTAAGCAAGGGCGTTTTGAGCGACGCGCGTCAACCGGAAGTGAGACGTATTTTCTTTAGCATGCTTTGGCGCTGCCAAGTTTGAAATGCCAAGGGCGTTTTCTCTCATACAGACGATTTGTCCGAAATTTTGCCCAAGAATACAAAAGGTGTACTTCCGGTTGCCTTGCGTCGCTCAAAAACTTGTCTACTGTGAACCCCTGAACAGACTATTAAATGCTGGCATAGCCTCAGGTTAATTTATGCTGTAAGCTTACGGGTTTTGTTATTTATTCATTTCCCTTTTTGGAAATTCGGTAGACGAATTATCGCACAGGCAACACGCGATATATTTATAAAAGACCTTAGAGTGCACGTGTACTCGGCTAACGCTACAGCAAGAGGAAAGGGTAGTGAAACTACATAGTGAATGAGTGTGACTTTGACATGGAGCCTACCCTGCGACCACAGTCTCCTTCAATCTTCAAGAAGCAAAGATGTTTTTTTCCTTTTTTTCTTTTCTTTCTTTTTTTTAAAAAGGATCCACTCAGGTTGCATATTAAAGTCCTTAAGTTCTGAATAGATTTTTAGCTGGACTGATAAAAGTACATTTTAGGGATTCAAGATATCGGAGCCCGTAGTTGATAGAATTTGGCATTACCGGTTTGTCTTGAGCTAACAGGGTTGCTTGACCTTTTAGTGTACGTAATCAGTTCGTACTTGCATTATGATTTTTCGAGGATTCTGAGTTCACTTAAAAGGCCACTAAGTTTTACGCAAAATGATCTGTGAGTGCATTCGGACAAAAACACGAACTTCAATATCTCAAAAACTGTGCCAGGTAAAGACGGGATTTCAAATTCTTTATGTAGTAGAACGGCTTAGTTCACTATTTTCAAGGTAATTTTCGCTTATGCAAACGAATTGAGTTCAAACTATTTCTCGTAACTTACGGTAATTCATGACATTTCTAAACAAATTGAACAGCGCACGCGTATAGGAAAAATATTTTCTGGTTGGCACTTAGCGACAGCTATTACTAGTGAATGCATTTTCCTTATAGCTCTCAAAATTACCAGAATTCTTTCTGAAAAAAAAAAAGTTAAATAAGCTACTAGCTACTAAGCTGGTACCCAGGGTGAGAATTGACGACAAACTAAAAGGAAAAAAACCATCCCTAATCGACGATGCCTTCAGGGCCTCTGTCGAGGAAGTGTAAAGGATAAGTGGCTTTTTGAAATATTTTTTGAAATCATTGAGATCAACAATTGCACTTAACGTCTCCTTTCATTCAGGTTAAATTAATACAACATTACCAAGCTATGGTACACTGTAACGTGTAACTTGTGTGCTACGCAACGCGCTAAGATTAAGCCTAAGCAGTTAAAAGTAGTTACGTCCTAATGTGACGTTATATGAATACCCGAGGCTATGCTTTAAATCTATAGCCTGGAAAAACTCGATAGTACAGGAAACAAAACACCCGTCCGATTTTAAAGCAGTCATAGTTGAACGATTGCTGTTGTTTCTTAGTACCAAACCACAGCACGTTGTGGACAAGCGATCTGAAACTGATCTGTTTGATAACTCAGTAAAACAACAATCACAATTAGCATTAAATTAATGGCACG